CAGTGACCCCTACGAATACGCGGTTACTGACAAGATGGTCATCCAAATGCGTGGCCGCCTACGTACCACGTTCGCTTGGTGGAGCTCGTGGTGCACTAGCAGTTTCATCCTCTCAGTCATTGCCAAAGGATACTGGATGCCATGGAAACTCGGGCCGCCGCTGGCCTTTCACGATCGCAACCATGCCGGCGCACGCACCCACGAAGCATTCACGCGCACGGCCATCCTTGAACTCACTGAGACCGGCGCGGCCATCCAAATTTCTGCGGCGAAACTGAGATGCATAAGCCCTCTCAACGTGGTCGAGCAGAAAGACAAGTGTCGCCTGATTCTGGATCTCCGAAAGGTGAACGGCGCAATAATCGTCCCCAAATTTAAATATGAGGGACTCAACCGCGTAGCGGACCTCGCCCGCCAAGGAGATTGGATGTTCTCCATCGATTTGAAATCAGGCTATCACCATGTCGACATCCATCCTTCGTGCTGGACGTTCCTCGGCTTTGAATTCGACGGGTGCACATACGCCTTCCGATCCTTGCCGTTCGGCCTCGCCACAGCACCATTCGTCTTCACGCAGCTCATCAAGCAATTAGCTCGGCGATGGCGGGAGCAGGGGGTCCGCGTGATACCCTACGTGGACGATATCCTCTTCCTGTGCCCGACCCAGGCACACGCTCAAGCCACGTGCCAACGGATCGTTATCGATCTCAAGGCTGCCGGGCTCGTACTCAACTCAAAAAAGTCAAAGCTGATACCAACACAGCACCTTCGGTTCCTTGGCGTAGAACTTGACACACAGGCCGGCCGGTTCTCCATCGGCGAGGAGCGGCGAGCCACACTCAACGCCACCCTCCATGCCCTACTGCGCGCAAGCTCAGCTCAGCGGAAAGTCCCAGTCCGGCAACTGGCCCGAGTTACAGGCATGCTGGCATCGATGGCTGTCGCACTCGGCACCACCACCCGAGCGTTCAGCCACGCCATGCTAGAAACAATCAACGACGCGCCGACATGGACCAGCATGGTCATCCTCTCCCCACCCGCCATCGAAGAGCTGAGATTCTGGATCCAAGAGTTCGACCGTTTCAACGGTGCCCCGTTCCATGTGCGGCACAGCTACGATGCAGTCATCCACGTAGACGCAAGTGCCCACAGCTGGGGTGCCACGCTGAACACATTCCCTGGAGCCGCGATAGAGGCCAGCCGGCAATGCCCGGAGCCCTTCATCCAACCTCCAGCACACAAAGAGAGCTTGCCGGCGTGCTGTGGGCGCTACAAACGTACGCGCCTAGAATCCGGAAGAAACACGTGCTAGTGCGGGTGGACAACCAGGGCGTGTTCTTCATCCTTCGCAAAGGAGGTTCACGAGTCCCGACCTCACCACCACGTGCAAAGGCATCATCCAAAAATGCATGGAGTTCGAGATTCGGCTAATCATCGAATGGATCCCACGCGATCTGAATGGTCGCGCAGACGAGCTCTCCAAGCTAGTCGACCACGATGACTACTCGTTGAAGTTCCCATGGTTTCGCCTCCTCGAGCGTCGCTGGGGGCCCCACTCCATTGACCTATTCGCCAACCCCCAAAATGCACACCTTCTGCTCTAAGGTCCCCCACCCCGATGCCACAGCAGCCGACGCCTTCTCACTTGCCTGGACGGCTGAGAACAGCTTTGCATTCCCACCGCCCCAACTCATCCCCGCAGTACTCCATCACGCACAACGCACGAGCGCATCTCTCACCCTCATAGTCCCACACTGGCCTGGCGCAAGCTGGTGGCCGCTCCTCCAGCCCTCCCCTCCATCGTGGGACCCACACATCCAAGCACATATCCCTCTTACACACGGCAGCCAGTGTCTTACAGTCGGCACACATAGTCAAGCATTCTCAGGCACAGGATTACCCAACAGCACTATCGTCGCACTCCGCGTGATATTTGACTAACTAGACTCCCTTGCCTGTCCCCAGATCTGCTTCCAAAGCTCCAACATGACCTGCTTTCCATGCTCGCCCGCTCTCGTGCCGACTCGACCATCCGAACATACGAGCCTTACTGGGTGAAGTTCCGCGCCTTCTGCACGAAGGTCAACCTAACGTTCTTGCCGGCATCGGACATGACCCTCGCGCTCTACCTTGTGTATGTCATCCAACGCAAGGCCTCCTTGTCGGTGGTTCAGCTCACATGTTCCGCCGTGAGCTTTGCCCACCGGATGACAGGCTCAACATGCCCAACCACCGGCCCTTTCACCTCCCAAGTGCGCGACTTCGCGAAGCGACACTGCCCGCGCCCTAACAGGATTAAAGAGCCAGTCTCACTCCATCAGGTCCACGATATGGCAGCCTCCTTCCTACAGTCAACTAACCCAGCTGTGTTCCAAAAAGGACTGATCCCGGTTCTCATGTACGCCGGTTTCTTGCGCTACTCGGACCTGGTGGCCATCCAATGGCAGGACATCCAATTTAAAGATGAAGCGATGTGGCTACTCATCCCCCACTCAAAAACCGACCAAGCCGGCCAAGGCACATGGATCCCTATCGCGGCAAGCCCCGGACCCTTTTGTCCGGTCCAGGGCACCCAGAGGCTCATCCAACTCGCAGGATACAGCCTCCAATCCTTGGGACCGCTCATCCGGGTCTTCGGACCCCACCTACCGAGCCGCGGCACAGCCAGACCGCCCTCATACACCACAATCCGCAACTGGTGTAAGGAAGCCTTCGCGAAAATCGGTCAGGGAGAAGAGCACCTCGGCACCCACTCCTTTCGGAAAGGCACGGCCACGGTTGCTGCCAACTCCGGGGTTCCTGACAGGATCTTCAAACGCCTGGGCCGTTGGCGTAGTGAAACCGCGAAAGAGATGTACGTCACGCCCGCGACCGATCATCTGGTTGGCGCGTTTCGACGCCTGCAAGACCCGGCGGCGGCACCATCCTCTGCACAACACGCTGAGGCACTTCTCCGCCACCGCAAGCCCCCACTGCACATGTCTCAACGACCCCACTTGAAATGAGAACGATGCCTATTGCAAAGGACAAGAAAGCAAGCTTTCTCAATATTATAATTTTTAACACATGTATCAGAATTGAAAATTGAATGATAGAAAGAGTGAGAGTACACAAAGATATACCTAAGTGTTGTACTCTCTAAGAGGCGACCCTATACAGTCTATACAAACATGACAAATACACATGTTTGACACACCCCCTAGACTGCATAGGGGAATGCCCTAAACAAACAGCTCAGGGCGGCACTACTAGTCCAACCTCTGAGACAAGGGTCTAAGAGACCAGTCAGAAGGAGTACAAACAAGGCAAGATCAAGGGCAGGGCGGCACTACTAGTCCAGCCACTGCGAGAGGACACAAGTCCAGTCTGAGTATACGTATAAAGGACAGTACAAAGTCAAGGTCCTAGCAAGTGAGAGGCTACAGGAACTAGACCAAGCTGTACACAGTGCCGCTGATGATCTTTAGGCGCAAGCGCCTTCGTAAAGATATCAGCCGTGTTGGCACCTGAGGCCAAGTGTACTACGCGAGCCTGACGTCGCTGTTGTAGCTCACGCAGGAGGAAGTACCGCAGCTGAATGTGCTTCGCTCTGCCCTCGAGTCGAGGCTCCTGACACAGGAGGATCATGGCCCTGTTGTCAGCGAACAGGACCGGGGCAGAGCTGGGCCGCTCACCTAAGTCAGTGAGCAAGAAGGTCAGCCAGCGGAGCTCCTGTGCCGCCATGGCACCAGCGTAGATCTCAGCCTCACAGCTGGACTGCGCTACAGACGAGGAGCGGGTAGCTCTCCACGAGACGGCAGCGGAGCCAAGGCTGAAGCAGTAGCCCTGGGTAGACCTGAGCGTCTCAGCGTCGTCTGCCCACGAAGCGTCTGTGTGTCCAGTAAGGACCACTGGCCTGCGTCCTCCTAGCACTAACCCCATGCCCGATGTACTAGCAAGATAACGCAGAACCCTCTTAGCGGCAGACCAGTGCTGCGGTCGGTGTCTGCCTGTGGCCACAAAGCGAGCCAGGATGCTGAGAGGGTATGCGAGATCTGGGCGAGTGCAAGTCATCAGGTACATGAGGCAACCCACCAGCTCTGCGTAGGGGCCGCTGGGCTCTACCAACTCCTCAGACACTGGATCGGAGAGTCTGTGGTCTACAGGCAGAGGGGTGGGCTGTGCAGAGGAGAACTGAAGGCTGAACCTCTGAAGGACCTGGCGCACCAAGTGTGACTGAGTCAGGGTGATGGTGCGCGCAGCTCTGTCCCTAGAGATCTGCAAGCCAAGGTAACGGCGCAGTTCTCCAAGGTCAGTGCAGGTGTGTCTCTTCAGCAGCTCTGCCTTCACGGAGGCCAGTGCGTCCCTGTCTGCTGTGGCAAAGACCAGGTCGTCGACGTAAACAAGGATGTAGAACGGAGTCTGGCCAGCACGAACGAAGAGTGAAGGGTCTGCGGAAGACGGAAAGAACTGCAGGTCAGCAAGCGTAGCACGGAGAGTGTCGTGCCACTCACGGGGAGCCTGGCGCAGGCTGTAGACGGGGCGCCGCAGGAGCCACTGGGTCCCAGGAGGGAAGGTGCCAGTGAAGCCCTGAGGGCGACGCATGTAGATTTGCTCGTGTAGGCTGCCCTGAAGGAAGGCAGTGGAGAAGTCGAGGGAGTGAAGCTCGTAGTCACGGTGAGCAGCTAGGTGTAACAGAACTCGAAGAGTAGTCATCTTCGGGGTCGGAGCGAAGGTCTGGAAGAAGTCCACCCCCTCGCGCTGACTGAAGCCTGTAGTGTTTTTCAAAAATTGTGTATTGTGAAAGCAAAGCTGATTGTACTGAAGCGTTGGGCACCGTCGAAGCGCTCTACTCGCCCTTCTCCAACTACATATACGTGGGTTGGAGCTCATTTACCTCCACCCACATCTCTCATTTTTCAAACGTCTCAGTCAACTTTCCCACCCACCCCCCCTTCTAGACAATCGACCATCTCCAATTGACAGCCGGTCACTTGAACGGGAACGCACAACTAGGATCATGATGTGTGCATGTTTAGATTCTTATAAGCTAGTAAGCGACTATTGTACCAAGCCACTTGAAATGAGAACGATGCCTATTGCAAAGGACAAGAAAGCAAGCTTTCTCAATATTCGATATGAAGGTCTCCAATGATTGCTCGACACAAGACGAAGGGAAATGAGTGGAAAGGTCACGACTCACTGCTGCCCTATCGAAGAGCTTGTTTGTCACTATCAGCAGGCTGTGCAGGCATTTGCTCTGGCATGTCACCACCAAGTGGGGGAGGGGCGTCGGCATGAGCATTCTGGGAGAGGGACGCATCCACCGGAGGCACTGTGCTACGCGGGTCTGGAGTGGAGAGGCCTGGGGTGGGGTGGAATGGAGCAGCAGCAGCAGCAGCATGTGCTGTAGTGCGAGCAGTGTGGGGAAGTGGGGCGGCAGAGGGATAGGTGGAAATGGTGAAGATGGGTGGGTCAGAAGCAGCGCTGGCAGCAGCAGTGTTGTCAGAAGCTGTGCTTGGAGCAGTGCCGGCAGCAGCAGCAGCAGCAGCAGTATGGAGAGGGGAAGCGGGGATAGAGTCAGGCAAAGCAGGCTGAAGGGATGAGCTCAAGGGCGGCTGGTCTGAGCGGTACGGATGGGTGGCGTGCAGCGGTGAACTGCCAGAATGATGTGTGGGCGCAGGGGTACCATCTGCTGATGAGGATGGGGATGGCTGGATGACTGGATAGGTCTCAGCTGGTCTATCTGCTTGGGTAGGGTCAGCTTGGGTGGGCTCAGCTTGGGTGGGCTGGGTGGGTTGGGTGGGCTGGGTGGGCTCAGCATCAGGAGACAGGGATGAGAAGGAGGAGGAGGAGGAGTGGGCAAAGCCCTCGCGGTAGCCCTGCACGAACTGCTTGAGGGAGTCGGCGTATGCTGCCACTCGCTCCACGTACCGCTGGTGCAACCAGGGGAGCAGCGCCCGCGCTCCTGCCCTGCCTGCTCCACCTGATGGGCGGAAAGGGGTGGGGTGAGGTGAGGGGCGGTGGAGAGGGGAGAAAGAGGGAATATTCGAGGTTCTGAAATAAGGTTTTAACAACAAAATGGTTGACAGCGGGAAGCGAGTGTGGTGTGACTTGAGGTACAGATCTGGCACAATAGTGGGATGAGCACGAGGAAGAGGAGGGGAAAGGGGAGGGGGGGGGTTAGGGGGAGGGGGAGGAGGAGGGCAGATAGCGAGCTTGAATGTGCGGGGTTCACGACGCCCCGTACCGTGTTGAATGTGAGTGAGCCACAGACGCATGCATGGCAGCACACGCGCAGCACACAGACAGCAACGCAGGCACAAGCAGGGGTACGCAGCACACTGCCGAGCCAGTGACAATGACGACAGCACACACGAGCATGAACCACGTTACCCCAGCAAAGGACTGATGGAAAACTACCAACAAAGCCGTTCCAGGCACAACTATTAAACTCCCGAGCTTGCTAACCAGGCACCACACCGCAGTGACCAACCCACCCAACTCCTCCACATGTGTGGTCGGGGGCAGGCAGACCACCAACGATGAGCTTCCCAGATGCAACAAACACCTCCAGAAATTCCACAACTTGCTGACCTCGCTGACCAGGCACCACACCGCACCGACCAACCCACCTAGCTCCTCCACCAACGTGGTTGAGGGCGGATCCCCCTGCCCCTCCCTCCTCTTCCTCTCCACCGCCTCTCCAAACCCATCACCATCCTCCTCCCCCCCCCGGGGCATCCCACCAACTGCCTCCCCTGCTCCCCTCCCTGCTCTGCTGCGGTTAAACTCCGCCCTCCAGCTGTCCTTGTACGCTGCCCATGCTGCTGCCAACAGCTGAGAGCACAGGGAGATACAGAGGGCAGGGAGGGTTGGAGAGCGAGGGGCCATGTATGGTCAGTCAGCTTGGGGGTCACACTTGTTGGATAAGACCGTGTTAGTAAATTCACGTGGAGGAAGGAGGGGGCAGAGGAGGGCAAAGGAGGCGAGGAGGGAAGAGGACGGCCAAGGAGCAAGGTGGAAGATACAGGGAGGGAGTGGTGGTAGATGATGGAGACTTGGAGAGTGAGGAGACAACACCACTGCCGACGATCTTCTTCCCATCACTATGCAATGCCCCTGCTGGTGCTCGCGCAGTGTACCTGACTGTAATATGCAAAGTCAAACCACGCCACGCCTTCCCAGCATCAATCTGACAACTATATCTTAAATTCACACCGCATGTTACCGCACAGCACCCACCTGGCGGTGCTCCTGCAGTGTGAGGCGGCGCGGGGGTGGGGCAGCAGAGGGCGGGTCGGGCAGCGAGGAGGGCCACACGATCTCGCGCAGGTCGTGCCGCACGTAGCTGCGCGCCCGCTGCACCAGCCGCCGCAGCAGCGCCACACGGTGGGGGGGCACGCCCAGGGGCATCAGGGGGAGAGTGGGGGAAGGGGGGGGGGGGTGGAGGCGGGCGGAGAACGAGTACGACTGGGGGAGGGGTAGGGGAGGATGGGGAGAGGGAGGGGGGGAAGAGAGGACGCACGGACGTGGGTGGAGGAGGGATGTGAGTAATCCCTGGATCTGAGGGAGGGCACGCAGGCTACAGGGATGAGCTCACGGGCAGCTCGTCTGGCGAGTGATGCATGGCATGGCAGCATGATGCATGGGATGGCGGCATGATGCATGGGATGGTGGCATGACATGGTTAGAATCGCTGCTGAGAGGGTGGGAGGGATTCGACGACAGAGCAGACAGACAGAAAGGGAGGTAGCCAGCAACGCATTTATTAGACACCTCAAAGCAAGCAAGCTACTAGAGACACACGTCACCTCACCAGGGTCTTCCCCTTTCTCCTTTCTCGCCACCTCACCTCACCTCACCTCACCTCACCTCACCTCACCTCACCTCACCTCACCTCACCTCGCCTCACCTCACAAGGTGCCTGAGTGGTGGTCACTCGCGCGTGTGGCAGGCACAACCCCGCAGCCCACTGGTAGAGCTGCGCGCCAAGCCCTCATGACACAGCCTCACAGCACCGCACCTACAGCACACGCCCCCTCCCCTGACCGCCTCTGAACTCCCCTAGACTCCTTCACACTCCTCTGAAAAGGGGACGCCCGGGCAGGGCGAATTGAGAGGAAACCACACAGCGTAGGGCAAGCGCAGAAAGAGAGCTACTGCTGCTGCTGCTGCTGCTGCTGCTGCTGCTGCTGCTGCTGCTGGCCGGTTTCACTCAAAAGTCGGACGTTCCCACACCTGTGAGTCTGTGACCTTGCTGCTGCTCTGCTTCTAGCCGCTGCTGCACGGCCACCTCCCTCCCCTGGGCCGCCCGCTCGCCCTCTTGCTGCTTCTATTCTACCGTTGCTGCACGGCCTGATGCCTCTGCTCCACCCTCTGCTTCTCAAGCTGCAGTTGCCGCTCCCGCTCTTGTCGCCTCCTCTCCCTCTGAAGGGCGAAGGGTGAGGGTGGGGGGGGGGGGGGGGGGGAGGGGAAAGAGGGGTCGGGGAAGGAGGGGTCGGGGAGAAAGAGCGCGCGGGGAAACAGAGGGATTGGGGGAACGGGGGAGAATGACGAGACGCGCTGAGGAGGAACAGCGAGGAAGCGGAGAATACGGGCACGATGGGACCTTCGTGTGAGGGAGAGAGGGCTTCTGACGACGGATAGGCGAAGAGGGAACGGCGGGGGGTGCCGGTCAGTCCAACTGGACGGCCCCGCGTCTGTCTCGTGCTCCTGACGTGTCTGACGTGTCACACGGATGCGATCCGTCTTGGTACTTTCTTTACCGCGGCCCTCCTCGGAAGCAACATACCGGGCCGTGGTTCAAAGATCTGTGAACCGTCTAGGCGACGATGCGATACGATGCGAGTGCTACAAGCATGCGGACCTGGCGCTGCCAGTACGGCAGGTCGCAGACGAAGTCGTAGGCGGGATTGGCGGTGCACCAGAGCGCCGCGTTCAGCGCCACCACGGCCACAGCGGTCGTCAGCGGGCGCTTCGTCACTGGCATGGCATGCGCGTGAGCGGGGGAGGCGGGGGAGATGAGGAGCTGACGGATGTGGGTTGCGGAGGGCAGCAGAGGTTCGGCCCCTTCTATAGAGACAAGTGCTTCGATAGTGTCAGTAAAATGACGCGAGCCACTAAACCTATTCCCACAATTCACACATGAAGCACTTATGGATTTCTCTTTCCGTCCATGCTGAAATTGGCATCGAGCTGCCATATCATATTTTAGATTGGGATGCCTAAGCAACAATGTGATATCATGGTGTTACGTTCAGGAATTTCTTGCGTTCCTAAAAGTGACACTCGAGCCGTAACCCTTGTATGTCCAAGCTGTCAAACATATATTTTATATGTTACTATAGACTAGATATGTGTGTATTCTTATAGAGTACAACCCCTTAGACAGACCACCATGTTTCTCTCTTTCTAGTCAATCTTTCTACTCTGAGATGGTGTCACGCTAGGTTAGGTCAATTAGAAACTTAGGACTAAAGGTTCTTAAACTTAGGAGGCTAGGTTGGCTAGGATACTAGGAAGAAGACCGCCATGGAATGGCGTGAGGAAAAACGGATCTAGGAGGTGAGAGGATGTCGAGAAGAAAGGTGGTTGGATTAGGAAGAGAGGGGAGTACAAGGAGGGGTTTGTACCCCCTACAGAAAGGTTCAGTAACAACCTACCAAGCCTATATTAAATTATAACTTATATAATTTTAACACACCCCCTAGGCTTGGTAGTGTCAAGCCCACGCACACCCCCGCACCCACACCCACACCCACACCCCCTAGCCCAGCACCCCCATTCCCAGCAGGAGCCGCAACGACTCCAGAAGAGGGTAGGTCTCACGGCCCCTTGAGACGGCAATGGCGGCAGCAGCGACAGTGACGACGGCGGCGGCGGCGGCGGTGTGCGGCGGCTCCAGGCCTGCGGCAACAGCGGCGGCACCGGCGGCTCGAACGACAGAGGCTGGTGCGGCGGCCCCCGCCCTCTCGGCGGCATGTCCTGTCTCCTCGGCGGTGGAGAGGTCCCTCACATGGCAGTCATCGGCTGCAGCAAGAAAGGGGGGGATGCAGGGGAAGCAGGTGCAGGTGGGGGGGGGAGGGGAGGGGGCGGGGCGAGGCGAGTCTTCAGCGACGCGCCATAAGTGGCGCGGCGCTTACTGGCAGGAGGGCGGGCAGGTGGCGGTTACGACGGCGTGCTGCCCGCTGCCGCCCATCCACGCTGCCGCGGCAGCATGACGACGCCGCCAGGGCGCGGCGTCGACGCTGTGGCGGCACGCCGACGCTGCAACGGCAGCAAGGTGACGCTGCCACGGCAAAGCGTCGACGCAACCGGCTGCGGCCCGACGGCGCCGTCGACGCTGCAGCAGGACGTCGACGTCGCGACGGCAGAGGCAGCGTCGATGCCACAGCGGGACGTCGACGCTGCGACTGCAGAACGACGGCCCGACGCCACGGCAGCGCGTCGAGCCGGTCGCGGCACGACGCGGCCAGTGGCAGCGCGACGTCGCCACTGCAGCAAAACGCGGCCGCCATGGCCGCTCGAGCTAATGAGAGAGGAGTAAATTGCGGAAGCGTGAGGAGGCGATCCAACAGGGAGGATCTCCTGCTCTGATACCATCTTAGAAACTTAGGACTAAAGGTTCTTAAACTTAGGAGGCTAGGTTGGCTAGGATACTAGGAAGAAGACCGCCATGGAATGGCGTGAGGAAAAACGGATCTAGGAGGTGAGAGGATGTCGAGAAGAAAGGTGGTTGGATTAGGAAGAGAGGGGAGTACAAGGAGGGGTTTGTACCCCCTACAGAAAGGTTCAGTAACAACCTACCAAGCCTATATTAAATTATAACTTATATAATTTTAACAAGGTCCCCCCGCCCACCCGCGCTTCCGCCATAGGCCTAGACCTAGCCGCCCCGTTAGCACCCCACTAGCTGTCAAATGTAACTTAGGTCGTTACTGTAGACTATACTGGATTGTGCCTTAGAGGGTACAACACCCTAGTCTATATATCCTTGTACACACACATTCTATCCTATTCATTTTCTTTCTGATATGGTATCATAATAGGTTAGATCCCCCCCCTAGCCCGCTCACGCGTCCGCCCTCGCTCCTAGCCGGCCCCCTGGCCGTCGCGCCCGTCCCTAGCTGGCCCCCAGGCCGTTCGTGCCCGTCGCTAGCCGGGCCCCCTGGCCGTTCGCGCCTGTCCCTAGCCGGCCCCCTGGCCGTCGCGCCCGTCCCTAGCCGGCCCTCTGGCCGTCGCGCTCGTCCCTAGCCGGCCCCCTGGTCGTTCGCGCCTGTCCCTAGCCGGCCCCCTGGCCATCTCGCCCGTCCCTAGCCGGCCCCCTGGCCGTTCGCGCCCGTCCCTAGCCGGCCCCCTGCCGTTCGCGCCCGTCCCTAGCCGGCCCCCTGGCCGTTCGCGCCCGTCCCTAGCTGGCCCCCTGGCCGTCGCGCTCGTCCCTAGCCGGCCCCCTCGTCGTTCGTGCCTGTCCCTAGCCGGCCCCCTGGCCTTCGCGCTCGTCCCTAGCCGGCCCCCTGGCCGTTCGCGCCTGTCCCTAGCCGGCCCCCTGGCCGTCGCGCTCGTCCCTAGCCGGCCCCCTGGCCGTTCGCGCCCGTCCCTAGCCGGCCCTCTGGCCGTTCGCGCCCGCCACTGGCCGGCCACCTGGCCGTTCGCGCCCCCCCCTAGCCGACTCACCCGCCGTCGCGGCCGCCCCTAGCTGCCCTCGCGGCCGCCCCTAGCCGCCTTTGCGGCTGTCCATGGCCGCCGTCGCGGCTGTCCCTGGCCGCCGTTGCGGCTGTCCGTGGCCGGCGTCGCAGCTGCCCCTAGCCGCCGTCGCGGCCGTGTCTCCTCGCCGCCGTGGCCGGCCCTACTCGGCGTCGCGCCAACTCCTAGCCGTCCCCCGTTGCCGCCGTTTGCTGGCCCCTCGCGTCCGCCATCCGCCGGCCGGCCCCTGCATTTGCGAGGTCGCCAGCCCGCCGCCGCCTCGGGTTCGGCTCGTTCTTCCCGATCAGCACCGCCCTGCGAACCCCCCGGTACCGTACTAAACCGCCTTGCACCGCATTGTACCGCACTGTACCTCACTGTACCATACTACACCGCACTGTACCGCACTGCAACGCACTGCACCATCCCGCGCCGCACTGCACTGCACTGTACTGCTCTACACTGCCCTCTATTGTCACTGATGGCGGAGGTGCTTCGCTTTGACGCTGAGGGCCAGCCGATTGAGTTTGATGCGTGGCTTGCTGACCTCCGTCGCCACCTCACTGATCAGCGGCAGGATGGCCACTCTCTGTCTGTCCATCTTGACGGTACTCTCCCCTGCCCTGACCATCCTGCTGCACTGTCTACTGAACCCTCATCCGCTGAGCGTGAGTCCGCTGCGGCCGCTGCCCTTGCTCGCTCTGTCTGACGGTCCCGTGACGCTGTCGTACAGCTGGCTATTAGCAATGCCCTCCCCCTGTCCGAGCGACCTCGCTTTAGGTCTATCACCACTGCCCACGCTTTCCTATATGCTGTTGTCTAGCGCTATTCCACCCCGCCTGCTGCCTCGGTAGGTCGTCTGATCCTCCCCATGCTCTTCCCTGACCTTGCGTCTTTCCCCACTGTCGCTGACCTGGCCGCTCACCTGCGCACTATAGACGAGACCTGGCGTGCTGCCTGCACTCCCACATAGCTTCTAGCCCACCAGCCGCCCCTCACCTCTACTCTCTACCTGCTAGCCACCCGCCTCACTGACCGTCTTGCCACTGCCAGTGACCGCTTCCTTAGCGTCCACCCCGCAGACCTCACCCTCACTGACTTTGTTGACACCCTTTCCGCTATAGAGACCCGCCACCGCTCTATCGCTCAGACCAGCGGTACTGTGCCGGTCCCTATCTTTCAGGGTTGCGCCCCCGCTTAGTGTACCTTCTTCGACAGTTGTGGTGCTGTGGCTGAGACTGCCGCTGCAGCACAGGTCCGTTCGGGGAAGGGTTGCCGCCCCAAGGCTGGGCCTGGCGGCGGGGGTGGGGGTGCAGGTGTAGGTGGTGCTGGAGCTGGGTCTCCTGGTGGTGGTGAGGACGAGGGGACCCTAACAGGTGCAGCCGAGCAGCCGTCTCAGCAGCCGCCGGTGTTGCAGCCGGACTTGCGTGAGCCGCCGCAGCCGCAGCAGCCGCAGCAGTCGCAGCAGCAGCAGAGACGGGCGAATGGTCTCCCGCCCAGGTGGCCTGGCACTGGTGGTAGCGCTCGACGTAGTGGTGGTGCGTGTGGTGAACTGCCGAGTGGTGGTTCGGGTGACGTGCACTGTCAGTACCTGCTCCAGACCGGTCCTCGCCGTGGCTTCGTTTGCGGTAAGATCGGTCACACCTCCGTCCGCTCTTTCCGTCGCCTGGACGACCTGTTTCGTCAGCGCTTTGGCCCGTCGCCCCACCTCCCAGACAAGCACAGCTTGCTTCGTCGTAGGGTTCAAATTTCTGAGCAAGATATGGATGAGATTGTTACTGCTCTGCATGTGATGTATGCTGATGACTCTAGTGTGCTTCCGTCTTATTACCCCTTGTTGCCCTACACCCGGCCAGCCGCCACTACCGCACTCTCCTTCACCCTCGACTCTGGCGCTTCCCGTTGCTTCTTCCGCGACTCCACCACGTTGACACCGCTTCCTGTCCCTGCCTCAGTCTCTCTTGCTGACCCCTCCTCCGGCCCTGTAGTCCCCCGCAGTTCCACCACCCTCCCCTGCCCGGCGGTTTCTTCGGGCTCGCTCACCGAACTGCACGTCCCCTCGTTCTCCAGGAACCTAGTTGGTGTCGCCTTCCTTCAGGACCTTGGCGTCACCACTACGTTCCCTGGACACAAGCGGTACGCTGTCTGTACCGAGGCCGCCACTAGGGCCCCCCTGTCCACGTTCCCACGGAACCCGGTGTCCGGTCTTTTCACACTCGACACGGTAACCCCCCCGGCTGGGACCCCCCCTCAGGTGGCTGCGTCTCCCCCGGTTGCTGCTGCCTGCTCCTGTCGGTCTCTCACCCACCCGACTCTTCTCTAGCACCACCGCCTCGGTCACCCTGCGCTCCCGCG